GGGAGGTGGGGGTTGCATTCTCACCATCGCGAATAAATATAATACTATATAGGTCTAATAATTTTGGGATGTGGGTGCAAAATTGATAGTTCGTCCTGGGCGCCGAAATAGATCACTACTCCTTTTGTATGTTACCATCCATAGTTTATAAAAGATAATCAAAGTTATTAATTATTAGATACTTTTTTATAATAGCGATTAAACATTTATAATAGTAACGATGTTTATCTATAGTCGGTTGTTAATACAGCTTGATGTGCTTGATGTAGCATTTTTTTTCTCTATAGCTAGCAAGTTTACGTCATGGTGTCACCCCCCCCCCCCCCCCCACACACACATTTAAGTTGAATGATCTTTTTTTTTCTATTTCTATTTTTCTATTGGTGTCACCCCCCCCCCTTCCAATGATGTCACCCGGTGTGGTCCGTACCCCCCGCCCAGCTCTCGTTAGGCCTCTCATATTAATTTAATTTAATTTTTCAAAGTCAATCAGTCAGTCAGGTTTGACCACTGAGGTGTAGGAGTAAGGACTAAGGGGCGTGTACTGATGTAACGCTAAGGATTATCACGTGATCTAACCGTTACAGTCCAGACTGTAATGTGTGACTGGGGTTCGATCCCATCCCCTGGTATGTGGGAAGGCGCTAGACTTAATCCGGCGTCAGTGACGCGTGGATGACGCAACAACTGACATGTGACACACAGCTGACGGTCACCTCAAGGCGTTACAGACAGCACCGTGTCTGTCAATGACAGCAAAGTGTCTGCCACAGACATAACAAGCGACAAACACGCTATCAACAAAATGTTCACAACTTTAGTTACCAATGCTCTCAATTTTATCGACCCGACTTGCGTGTAATGCCTATATTATGTCTGTTTTATTCCGATTTTAAAAAATCAAGTGTTAAAATATGTTTTACCACACCACTACCCAGCCCAACATAATGACTCATCACTACCCAGCCCAACATAATGACCCCACCACTACCCAGCCCAACATAATGACCCCACCACTACCCAGCCCAACATAATGACCCCACCACTACCCATGTGGTACTGATTGAGAACACATAACACATGAATGTATACAGAATGAGAACTTGTAACACATGAATGTGTACAGAATGAGAACTTGCAACACATGAATGTGTACAGTTTGAGAACCCCTGACAATGAGGGCTGACCCCTGGGTTATCTGTAAACCCCTGTTGTGGCAAGATACGCGAGAAAGGATGTTGTCTTAAGCCTGGGTTACACCAAAACCCATGACCCACATTAACTAACGCCAAAATGTGTTGGTCCAATTAGGCTAACCTGTCTCATGGATACCTGGCTCTGATGGACCGTCCCCTCCCCCCTCCCCTTCCCCAGTCGGGGTGTAACGGTCGTAAATCGTGCTGACACCCACCGAGAGAAAAGAGAAAAGACAACTCTCGTTCGCTCACACGTGGGATATCACTTTACCGGAAATTAAGTCCCCTTAACAATTAAGGAACACCGATCCGCTGGCCGGTTTGGGAAAAACCAAGGGAAGAGTACCAGGTACATCTCTGTTGTCTCCCTTGCTTGCTCGGGTCCAACAAATGAGCTCGCGACATTTGATCAGGCTTTGACACTACGTCAGGGCAATATGCAAATGTGACTGGGATAATATAATAGTATGCTGACGCGTGACACCATATAAGGGGGTGGGGGTCAGGACGATTGAAATGGGGGTGGGTGTTAAAAATAGTTTTAAGATTGTTGTAGTTTCTGAATAACCCCTGAGAGAATGTCGCGTAGACTTTTTTTTTTTACTGTAAGGTTGCCGACCCCATGGCATGGGCCTGTGTTACAAAATTCAATTCTTGTCCTGACCTAGTGGTCATATGGTCTAGAGGTAGAGCGCTAGACTGCTAACCCGAGTTTTAATCCGGATTCAAGTCAGTCAAAAGTCTTTGAGTCTACCCAGCTCTGATGGGTACATTACTAACGTTATAGAAAGTAAATGCGGCTGGGCGTAGTGCTGACTTCACTATCCCTTCTCATGCTGAGGTCAAGATACATGAACTCTACTTGATCTGCCCAATGTACACGATAAGGATGTCATAACGCCACAAATCTTGGGAGCCGGGGGTAGACTTTAGTTACGAGAGGGAGGGGGGGGGGGACTAAACTCTTTTGGTTTTAAAAAGTTGTTAGGCCCTAGTGTAGTCCACGACATTTGAGCTAGTAGTTTGACAGAAGAATCACACACAACAACACGTAACATCAGCACTGGCTGTCGTCGTTAACAGAACTAGAAGCCTTTCACCGGGAACTACAGTACCACTACAATGTTCCCTCCTGTGGCCTTGATAGGTGGGGGAACTACAGTACCACTAAAATGTTCCCTCTAACAGGCCGTGGTCAGTGAGGGAACTACAGTACCACTTCAAATATTTTGCTAAGTTAATTTAAACTGCTTAGAAAAAATATCGCGACCAACCCGTTTTCGTCTATCCTTGCTTGGATAGAGATTCTGTAAAAAAAAAAATAAATGCAAGAGCGATGGTTATTCTACGTCAACTAACCCGCGAAGTTAAAAATTAAAAAACCAACGTGGACTGAGGAATGGGACAGATATACAAAACGTTCGAACGGCTACCCACTTTTGTCGTATCGTATCGCTATCCCTTAAACTTAAATAGCCAAATAAGCCGGCACATACAAATTACACCGCTCATAAAAATGCCTTTTTATTCTAAACATTTTATTTCTAGTTTATAGACTAGATTTTATTTTAAAGAGGAATGAATTAACGGGGAGGGTGATTATCAGGGACGGGATTACCCCACCTGATCTAGGAAGTACCTGTTTGTTGTTGTCAATGTACCCAATCATTACCCCGCCCCCTACTTCTACATGAGCCCGCCTTACTGCCTACATAGTTGCTAGTCTCCGCCCCGCCCATAAACACGGGAACCCAGCGCGGTGTAGCCGACTCCCACCGTTCACCTTGATCTAGCCGAGCGGCGGGCTGAGCAGGAGCGGGCTTTTAACTGACCGGAGCTTTGATCTCACGGCTCAGAGCCGGTGGGCGGCCTCTTCTGATGACGTCACGCGGGGAGGTGTGGGATGGATGGGCTTTGGGAGAGGGGAAGGTGGATGAATCCTCAATAAAGTGTTAAGTTTACGTGCTTAGATTAAGTAAAAGGCAGCTAAACATTAGGCGTATTTTAGTAATTACACCTGTAATAAGTAATTGAGTCGCTACGACAATATTGCGTCATTAGCTCTTCGCCACACAAAAAAAGATGTGAGAGGGAATCTTTAAATAAAAACCTTTGCTCTCACCCCCCCCCCCCCCACCAAATGGCCATGCCCCCCCCCCCCCCAAATGCTCTTACCCCCACCAAATGCCCATGTCCCCACCAAATGCTCTTACCCCACCAAATGCACATGTCCCCACCAAATGCTCTTACCCCCACCAAATGCCCATGTCCCCACCAAATGCTCTTACCCCCACCAAATGCACATGTCCCCATCAAATGCTCTTACTCCCCACTAAATGCCCATGCCCCCACCAAATGCTCTTACTCCCCACTAAATGCCCATGCCCCCACCAAATGCCAATGCCCCCACCAAATGCCCATGCCCCCACCAAATGCTCTTACTCCCCACTAAATGCCCATGCCCCCACCAAATGCCAATGCCCCCACCAAATGCTCTTACTCCCCACCAAATGCCCATGCCCCCACCAAATGCCCATATCCCCCATAGATAGTGTGTGTCTGTGTGTGAATGCCCATGTTTGTTGTGGTGATAGAAAAAAGGGCGTCATTTAATTGTTGTAAGTTGTAAAAGTCATCAGATTTCTTAATTGAATTGAATTTGCTTGTGTCTACACATCACGGTTAATTTTTATTAAATAACTGAAGTAAAGGAATGTAAGTTATAATTTTAAATCGTTCATACTATCCGATTTAAAGACCAACAACAATGAAAAAACTGAGTATTTAAAAACTATTTTTTAAAATTATATTCTGGACTTAGAGTTACATGATTTAGATCTACATCTACTAGGTCTATACGAAATTATGTTGGCATTAGATTGGGAAATAATTACAAATAGCATTTTGATCGTTAAATGAAGCACCTCTCCTTGCTAAATCAGAGATGAAAGTCTATTGAATTCATTCGTAAACTAATTTCACATTTAATTTGTGCGCTTTAGTAGACGGTGAACATCACTCACAATGACGTCATTTTAACATAAAATTAGCCGCCTGTACACCGATTGGTCATTAATAAATAAAAGCAGATAATACATTTTACTAAAAAAAATATAGCCTAAGGGGGGAGCGCATGATGCTAACCCTGGAATCGAAGTTATGAGGACACTAGGGGCCTAGGCCTTTAAAAACAATTAGGTAGGCCTACAAAATTTGTTGACACCGCGAGAAAAAACGTGATTACTTTAGCTCGTGCAAATGGTGTGTTGAATTACGATGTTTAGCACAGGCTGACTTTCAACGCCAGAAGAATACAAAATACAATTAGGCCTAGGCCTATAACTCGACTGGTTTTATTGTGTCTCAAAACATAAACGGACGACCAAGCGTGACAATTGTTTTTCTAAGTTGTTTTTCGTTCACTCTAGCCTACCGGTGAATGACGGGAAATGTCCGTAGCTAGATCTAGATTTTTACTCAACTTAGGCCTACAGCTTTTCGTGTTTCATATCTAGCATATTTGGGAATACTACAACTAAAGCGTAGCAACCCCCCCCCCCCCTCTCCAAACTTCGTACCCCCTCCACCCATCGAACCATGGAAGCCCTGGGGTTATATCACTTCGTCGTCATATTTCTTTGACCACTCCCCGTCTTGAGGGCTATTCAAGGCCTAGGCTACCACTGTGGGAATGTTGATCATTAGCCAAGCATATCATTGGCTGGACATTCTAATTTGCATAAACGAGCAGACGGAACCGGAAGACGCAACTCACTTGTCATAACACATTAGGTTTTTTTAGTGTGATAGGCTAGCCTAGTTAACAAATCCTGTGCCGAAGTTAAAATGTTTTCGCGCTGAAAGTGTAATTTTGTAGTTGTAGTATCAGGATCTAGAAAAATTCTAGATTAAGTAATTGTAACTTAATTGATTTATAGTTTCTTTAGGTAAGTAGGAATCTAAAACTTTAGTTAGATTCTAGATTTTCTAGATCTAGTCTAGATTAGATCTTCATCTTGTGTGAAGCGTAAGTCAAGTTAAAAACTAAGTTTAGCAGAACACAGCTACTGAATGAGCTAGCCTAGGGCGGCCTAGGCTAGGACAGGACCTAGAATTCTAGTCTAGAGAATCGATCTAGATCTAGATTCTAGATCTAATAAGATTATTATTATCTAATATCTTCAGAGATCTAGACACCGGGAGAATTTTTATACCGGTGTCCGATAAATAATGAAATCTTTAAAAAAGGGGTGTTAGGTTACTGGTAGTTAACTAAAATAACACATGGCTGGCTAATAATGTCAATGCAGTAACCATGTACTATGTACCTAACCCCAACCATGGTCCTACCCAGAGGCGTAGCGAGGGGGGGGGGGGGGTGCGGACCGCACCGAGTGACACCATTTAGAATATAGGGGGGTGACACCAAGGCAAAAAAAAACAGCAAAATATATAGAGAAAAATGATAATTTCACTTAATTAAGTGATTAATTTGAGTGTTAAATAGTCTTTTAAGAAGTGCAAATCAAAAGTTTGCTGGGGGGGGGGGGTGTGCAAATCAAAAGTTTGAGGGAGGGGTCACTACGATTCTGGGGAGGGGGGGGCCGACCTCGCTACGTCACTGGTCCTACCATATGCCTAACCCTAATTTCTAACCATAAAATTAGGCCCAGTCAGATTACAACACTACCAACATCCAAACACACCTATTTATATTTATGAATGGTATTATGATCAGATACTGGCAGGCCTAGATCTACTTACTAGACTTACTAGAGATCTTAGATCTAAATCAAATGCCACCAATAAACTGAATAAAGTCACTATGAAACCTTGTAGTTTTTTTTTCAAATAGACCACTCAGTTATGAATCCTCCATATGATTAACAGACTAGATCAAGATCTAGTTGTAATGCGTCTGAAATAGGCCTACTTTTATGAAGCCCTTTTTATCAGTAAACCCAAAAATGTAGCTCTCATTTCAGCCCACATTTGGTTACATTAGTCTAGTCCTCATTAATATGTAGATCTAGGTCTAGGCCTAATTGAAAAAACTTTTTTTCTTTCAGAAACAGAAGAAAATTGGAAACAGTTTTAAAGTACTTGAAGTTTTTATGCATAATTTGGATTACTCTAAATTGGAATGGAAGTTTTTCTTAACTGTGATGTAACCCAAATCTTAAGGAATAAATTTGTTGTAATAATTGGAGATTCCAGTAAGTATTTTATATATATAGTTGAGAATACTCTAGAAGAAATAAGTATTTTATATATATAGTTGAGAATACTCTAGAAGAAATACAATAGAATGTAGTCTAGTTATTAGTAAAAATAGTGTGATTTCTTTATGCATCCTTTTACTTTTACAATATCTTTAATATTTTGAACTCTGCCAAATCATCATGCTAATGTTGAATTTTATCAATAACTTGTGTTGGTTGTGCTGCAGGATGGGTTCCATGGGGTGGGGGAGACCATGTTTCTTAGATCTTTGGGTCCTGTTATGTAACATGTACAGACATTAACATTACTCAGTCTCCTGACATGGAAATTTATGCTACCTAATGGCATTATAATTATGCCACAGCCTTCTTGTTAAGGCATATTGAGCTATTGGGTGTGAAAATTGTATCCAATGTAATTTTCAGTCCAGCGAGGGATCTACAAAGATCTTGTGCTGTTGCTCCAAAGTGATAGATATCTGACTCAAAAAGAGCTGCGGTCCAAGGTATGTCAAAAACAGTGTTTAATGTTATGAATAGTGTATAACAATCTATTGCTCTAACTCTAAGAACAGTTGGTTATTTCTTGCCACTTATTTACTTGTGTACCTGTAATGGTTATTTTGTCGGCAACAAATTCTTTAAGTTAGTGGTAGAAATGCACAGACTAAAAAGGCCTTAACATGAGGGGTATAATTCAGTCAATTGCAAATGGAGCAAAGTGTAATGGACAGAAATGGTTAGTCCCTAAGTTAGTCTGTAAAAAGTAGCCCAAGGGAGATAAACCTGTATATAGCAAAATAAGGAGAAAGTAAAGGGTTATGCTGCAGCAAATGCAAAGGGGGATAACCCAGTATATAAAAACCGATGTAAATGCTAAGTAAGTTTTAATATATTAAATATGGTGATACTAGTAATTTTGAAATGTATTTCATAATGTGTATCTACTTACAATAAAATACAGTATACTAAAACATTTCTCATGAATTAAATTTATCAGTCACTCTGTTATTGGGTTGCTTCAGTACATTGAATTTGTTAAGTGAGCAAGCTTAAATGTTAATATTTGTAACTTCAGTTTCTTTCAAAATTATTTTAACTTATGTAAAGTTCCTTTTTTTTAACCCGACAGTCCATGGGGCTAATCAAGTAGAGTTCACCTTTTTGTGTGAGCTCAGCATATGAAAGGATAGTCGCAAGAGCTGTGTGGGCTCAGGGACGTCCCACTTACTTGATCCTCAAATCTTTCTTGAGACTTATAGGGTTTCCAGGCTCAGGGACGTCCCACTAACTTGATCCTTAAATCTTTCTTGAGACTTAAGGGGTTACCAGTTTAAAGCTCTACCACTAGGCCACAATGTTTCATCAGTTGAAAATATGAGAAAGAATTTAATATTTATACCTTTTCTTCATTGTTTGCATCGTAAATTTAATAGCGTTAATTAAATTCAGATTGGGAGTTAAAGGACAATTTACTTGGTTTGCAGTCTTTTTGACACGTTTTTTAAGTCAGAGAATTTAGTTTCCTCAATGATTTTTTTGTGAGTGGAAATACAGTTTCCTGAATAATTTTACCTTTTGTCAGGGAGAATTCAGTTTCCTCAATGATGAGCTCATAGAGGGTGGACAGAAGGGGACTATGTCAAATGGCATCAGCTACAAGGAAGTGCGAGAGTATGTCACAAATGTGCATCTGGTTAGGTTTTACTTTGTGACCAGATGCTACAACAGTTATGTTGAAACACTTCTCAAAGACCTGGCTAAGGATAAATTAGGCCAGCCAGATATCATCATACTCAATTCTTGCCTTTGGGACATATCCAGGTAACAACTTTCTATAATTATTGAATAATGATGTTGATAGCTTATTGCAAGCATTAACATATCTTCTTGCATCATAGCTGCTTATCACAGTCTTAAAACAGTAATCAGTATTGCTAAATGAATCTGTTTCTTAAACTCTGATGCAAGTTTTTATGATTATTAAAATACAAGAAAATTCCTCAATTGAATTTGTTGAAATGTTATTTAAGTTTAGTATATTTGAAAAAGCTTTATACTGAGTACAACAATAGAATCATTAGATGTGGTAAAAATTGTTTTGACACAAATTTGATCACATGACTGCAGGTTTTACATGATAAATTAGTTCATGTTTCACTAGTCATAGCCTTGAAAAGTAAACTCCCTGTACTACTATAATTATAGTTCATTAACTGTTAATTAACCTGAGCACATGTTTTCAGGTATGGACCAGACTCTTTCATGGATTACAAGGAGAACTTGGTCAAACTTTTTGAACTGTTCTCTGATTATTTTTCAAAGCAATGTCTCATCATCTGGAATACAGCGCTGCCCATTTCTAGTAAAGCTAGAGGGGGCTTCCTGGTACCAGAAATTGAGTTTATGAGCTCATCCTTGAGAATGGATATTTTGGAGGCTAATTTTTTTGCAGGAAAGGTAAGGCTAGGTTATCCAAGATTTGTGTATTCAATTCTTGTTTATATTTAATTTGATTACTGTTGTTTTTCAACTAAGGAGCACAGGCTCTTGTAATACAGTACCAAATGTCTGGTAGATCTACATAGTAAGGAGCATAAGTAAATGGTGAAATTGATACTTTTTAAGCTCAGTGATTTTTTTGTTTTGTTTTGCGAATGAACAACCAAAGAGAAATAACTCTTTAATTGAATAAAAGAGAATAACCAAAAAACAAAAGAAATAAAAACCTTTATAATACGGAGCTTTAAAATGCACTATAAGATAAAATAACCTTACTTTAGTAAAAGTATTGGCTTCTCAAAATGTGGCACAAGGTTCTAGATTGATTAATGCTTTTACCCCAAAAAAAGTTGTTTGATTTATTTTTGTGTGGATTTTCTTTTCTACTTTTTAGAAAATAGTAATTTGAAAGTTAGTATCATGTTTACTGTATTTATTCTTAACTAAATTCACAACCCAACTAAAAAAATAATTTGTTTTAAAACCCAATCAGTAGCGTGCACCTGAAACTTATTAATGTCTGTCCTTGTCTATGCTCAGGTGTGAGAACACCACTGCGTACAACTCACCTTAGTCACCTGGTAATTAGAGCAATTGCTCATTATTTTATACCATTATCTCTCTTTGCTATTGAATGTAGTAATCTTTGAATTAATTTTCGACTAATATCTTATTGAATGTTGTCATCAGAAATGAATTTATCTAGCAAACATATTGCTTCATTATAAGTTGGTCAAGACATAGTGACCTAAGTATAAGCATATATTAACAAATCACAAAATAATTGATAAATTTTTAAAAGTATTTTATTTAAAAAATAAGAAGCTTTTCTGTGTACTTCCTGCCTGCTTTGTTTTTCCTTCTTTGTGCATAGAGAACCACTGTGTCTAAAATTTAGTCCACTACTTTTAGATAAATTCTTTTAGTAAGCAAACTATCAAAGATTTTACTGACATTACATATGGGGCACTGACACAATGCATGCTGGGCACTGTGACATAACATGTTGGGCACTGTAACAGTTGGTGTTGGGCACTGTGATGCTGGTGTTGGGCACTGTAACAGTTGGTGTTGGGCACTGTGATGCTGGTGTTGGGCACTGTAACAGTTGGTGTTGGGCACTGTGATGCTGGTGTTGGGCACTGTAACAGTTGGTGTTGGGCACTGTGATGCTGGTGTTGGGAACTGTGACAGTATGTTTTGGGCAATAACACTGTATGAGTACATGTTAAGTTATGAGTCAGTGCATGTTAAGAAACTTTTTAGAGCACACATTAGAATTACCAAATTTTGGTGTCAATGTATTTGTGTTTGTCTGGGTATATATTGTATGACCATTTTTGTGTAGCTACAGGGGAAATCTAGGTGCAATCTGTTGTATACTAAGCATGTTGTGACTTACTTCACACTTCCTGAAATTACAAGTCAGGATTTACTCTAACAGTTTTTGTTGTAAACATGTCAATCTTTTTATTACTACTTTTCATCCATCCAGTACTTGGTTTTATGCTTCATCCATTCAGTGCTTGGTTTTATGCTTCATCCATTCAGTGCTTGCTTGGTTTTGTGCTTCATCCATTCAGTGCTTGGTTTTGTGCTTCATCCATTCAGTGCTTGGTTTTGTGCTTCATCCATTCAGTGCTTGCTTGGTTTTGTGCTTCATCCATTCCATGCTTGGTTTTGTGCTTCATCCATTCAGTGCTTGGTTTTGTGCATCATCCATTCAGTGCTTGGTTTTGTGCTTCATCCATTCAGTGCTTGGTTTTGTGCTTCATCCATTCAGTGCTTGCTTGGTTTTGTGCTTCATCCATTCAATGCTTAGTTTTGTGCTTCATTCATCCAGTGCTTGGTTTTGTGCTTCATCCATCCAGTGCTTGGTTTTGTGCTTCATCCATTCAATGCTTGGTTTTGTGCTTCATCCATTCAGTCCTGTGCTTGGTTTTGTGCTTTATCCATTCAGTGCTTGGTTTTGTGCTTCATCCATCTAGTGCTTGGTTTTGTGCTTCATCCATCCAGTGCTTGGTTTTGTGCTTCATCCATTCAATGTTTGGTTTTGTGCTTCATCCATCCAGTGCTTGGTTTTGTGCTTCATTCATCCAGTTCTTAGTTTTGTGCTTCATCCATTCAGTGCTTTGTTTTGTGCTTCATCCATTCAGTGCTTTGTTTTGTGCTTCATCCATTCAGTGCTTTGTTTTGTGCTTCATCCATTCAGTGCTTGGTTTTGTGCTTCATCCATTCAATGTTTGGTTTTGTGCTTCATCCATCCAGTGCTTGGTTTTGTGCTTCATTCATCCAGTTCTTAGTTTTGTGCATCATCCATTCAGTTCAATGCTTGGTTTTGTGCTTCATTCATCCAGTTCTTAGTTTTGTGCATCATCCATTCAGTTCAATGCTTGGTTTTGTGCTTCATCCATCCAGTGTTTCATCCATTCAGTGCTTTGTTTTGTGCTTCATCCATTCAGTGCTTTGTTTTGTGCTTCATCCATTCAGTGCTTTGTTTTGTGCTTCATCCATTCAGTGCTTTGTTTTGTGCTTCATCCATTCAGTGCTTTGTTTTGTGCTTCATCCATTCAGTGCTTGGTTTTGTGCTTCATCAATTCAGTGCTTCATCCATTCAGTGCTTTGTTTTGTGCTTCATCCATTCAGTGCTTTGTTTTGTGCTTCATCCATTCAGTGCTTGGATGTGTGCTTCATCCATTCAGTGCTTGCTTGGTTTTGTGCTTCATCCATCCAGTGCTTGGTTTTGTGCTTCATCCATCCAGTTCTTGGTTTTGTGCTTCATCCATCCAGTGCTTTGTTTTGTGCTTCATCCATTCAGTGCTTGGTTTTGTGCTTCATCCATTCAGTGCTTGGTTTTGTGCTTCATCCATTCAGTGCTTGGTTTTGTGCTTCATCCATTCAGTGCTTGCTTGGTTTTGTGCTTCATCCATTCAGTGCTTGCTTGGTTTTGTGCTTCATCCATTCAATGTTTGGTTTTGTGCTTCATCCATCCAGTGCTTGGTTTTGTGCTTCATCCATCCAGTTCTTGGTTTTGTGCTTCATCCATCCAGTGCTTTGTTTTGTGCTTCATCCATCCAGTGCTTGGTTTTGTGCTTCATCCATTCAGTGCTTGGTTTTGTGCTTCATGCATTCAGTGCTTGGTTTTGTGCTTCATCCATTCAGTGCTTGGTTTTGTGCTTCATCCATTCAATGTTTGGTTTTGTGCTTCATCCATCCAGTGCTTGGTTTTGTGCTTCATCCATCCAGTTCTTGGTTTTGTGCTTCATCCATCCAGTGCTTTGTTTTGTGCTTCATCCATTCAGTGCTTGGTTTTGTGCTTCATCCATTCAGTGCTTGGTTTTGTGCTTCATCCATTCAGTGCTTGGTTTTGTGCTTCATCCATTCAGTGCTTGGTTTTGTGCTTCATCCATTCAGTGCTTGGTTTTGTACTTCATCCATCCTGTGTTTGGTTTTGTGCTTCATCCATTCAAGGTTTGGTTTTGTGCTTCATCCATCCAGTGCTTGGTTTTGTGCTTCATTCATCCAGTTCTTAGTTTTGTGCATCATCCATTCAGTTCAATGCTTGGTTTTGTGCTTCATCCATCCAGTGCTTTGTTTTGTGCTTCATCCATCCAGTGCTTTGTTTTGTGCATCATCCATTCAGTTCAATGCTTGGTTTTGTGCTTCATCCATTCAGTGCTTTGTTTTGTGCTTATCCATTCAGTGCTTGGTTTTGTGCTTCATCCATTCAATGTTTGGTTTTGTGCATCATCCATTCAGTTCAATGCTTGGTTTTGTGCTTCATCCATCCAGTGCTTGGTTTTGTGCATCATCTTTTCCGTGTAGTGCTTGGTTTTTATTGTGCTTCATCCCGTCAGTTAAGATTTTTTTTCTGTCTATCTGCGCTTGTGTGAATACATTTTCTAATTTTACTCTATATGCTGTGGGTTATTGTTCATGAGTTTAGCTGTTGATTTATTTTTAAGTTATCTTGTTTAATGGAACACAAGAAGACAGTGTGTGTTTCTTGTTGAAGGACACAGCTTGTTAAAAACAATGAGTTGTGCCTATATACTTGCAAGATCATCTGCTTACACTGATACACAAACCTTTAGTGTGAGTATATAGCTTTAATATTATTCATAAACATGAATAAGTTGTGTGAGATTACATACCCCTCCAATTGTTTGGTTTCCCCAAATACACTTAAAAATACTATTACTATTATCTCATTTAACTTTATAAAAGCATACAAAACAAGCAATAATGATTTTCTAATGTCTTTTTAAAATTGTTAAAAAAATTTTTTTATTAATCATTAACTAATTTTAATAGAAAATTGAACTGTAATTAAAATTAGTACAAAAGACTTTTTTTTGTTGTACTTTGAAAAGTATTAATTTATTTGTGGGGGAAAATGTTTTGTATAAAAGATTTTCAAATGATGCTGAAACAGACCACTATAAAATCCTCTTGATAACTGATACAACTTCTGTCTCCACCAGCTTGCTACTCAACATGGCTTTGATGTTCTTGACCTTCACTTTTACCTGAGGCATCACCTGGACAGGCAGGTGAAAGATGGAGTACACTGGGACCACTTAGCTCACCGCCACATCTCCAACCTCCTCCTGAGTCACATATGTGAAGCCTGGATGATCACCATGCCAGCCAACAGACCAGCTTATTTTGGTAGCTACGGCTCAGTCAACTGCAGGAATGGCTTCTACCAACAGTTCCCAACAACCACACCCACATTTACAGATTGTACTTATGACAATAACTTTAACACAGGATTCAATGTATCAGTGCCCATTGTCAATAATGGTGACTGGTTGAATCATCAGTACTACCAGTGGCAGCCCTATGAACAAAACTCAACGGCTGGAGCAACCTATGCAGAGTCAACCTCACGCCGTAAACCTTACCACAGAAACAGACGGTAAACAATTTGTGGTTTTTACATTTTAAAGTGGATGTTTTATTGAACTTTCCAGAAATCTGCTTTACAATCAGGACAGTTGATTCACAAGTCTTGTATAATTACATTTTTTAAATGATAAATCAAAACTTTACTTTTGGTTATGGCACAGGTATCTTTAATTTTTAAGAATTAGAAGTCCATTTACACTTCTTTTATGAGCTTTTTCTTGTTTGACTTAACTTAAGGATACAATCATTCTGATCCAATTATAAATCACCGTGTGACCAACAAAAGTTTTGGTTCTAACAAATAAGCAGTTAGTGTACCCTGGTGATAGTTTAGTTTTATGTTTCTTAACTAGTAAACAAAACTAAAAATGTGTTATGTAAATTTTGTTTTTTTATACGGGTGCATTAATTATGTAACTGTTGATATGTAATTTATTTTTGTTTATGTTAACAGGCCAAATAGCCTAAGTCATTTTTTTAAAACTTCATAATTTTGTAGTTTTTTTTATATTTATATATGTACATAAATTTTTTGATAATGAAAATTGATAAATGTTTTGTTTTATCCTATGTTTTCTTCTGAAGGTTTTTGGCTATTTACTCTCGGTTAAAAATAAATAGAATACCCGTAACTTTTTTTTAATGTATGAAATTTGCATAAAAACAAAAGAATAGGTAATACAGTAGTGGAACTTGTATAGTGTCTAGAGATTTACAGTTTAAAATTAACTGGTAGAATATTCATCACTCGCCACATTTGTATTCTTTCACTTGGTGTAGAGTTGTTCACATTTCGAATTTTCCGATGAACCAGTAAGGAAAAACTGGCATGTAAATAATAATACTTGAGTTAATGATGTTTTCATCTGTGTAACACAAGCATTTTGGTTTTCATTCTGTTGCTTCTTGTACATACAATGTAGTAAAGTTATTATCTAGTCCCAAGGTTTGTTCCAATTAAAACAGCTATTTAAAAATTGAGACAATGTTTTTCTTTTACATTAAAACTGTTTATTGATCCAAAAATTGTTTCCATGTGATACATTTATGAACCAAAAAATACTAGCATCTTATTTAGTCACTGCCAAAAGTTGGTTGTCTACGTTAGTATGTACGTGACCTCCACATTGTGTGGCTGATGTTACACTTACAGACTGAGGCTCTAGTAAAACAGCACATTCCTTGTTTTGACATTCTTTCTATGAGAATTAAATAATTTACTGAAAGTTTTTTTAATAAAACCATTTTTATTAAATCTGCTTTTTTTGTTGTTTCATTATTAAAATTTGAAGCAGTAAAGCAAATAAGTTATTAAAACCAGTAACTTTGGGTTCTAGTAATGACAGTGTTTGATAAACAGCCATATTTTCAGTCTCACTGTCATACAAGCAAATAATTAGCTCTGCTTAAAACAGCAAAGATTATTTTACATTGCACATTAAAAACAAAAGAAAATATATGCACAATTTAAGACTAAAGTAAGCAACAAACAAGTAGAATTAAAATAAAACACTTAAGCAGCAATTAGTGTGATTTGCATTCTAAAGTATGAAGACATCATGGGTTTATTGTATAAAACAAAATAGGTTTATTTACTGTATTGTTTTGTCATATTGTAATATACAGGTTATGGTGAAGGTATAGAGAAGTGTTATGTCTGTAATTTAAAAAAAATAATTGTTTGATGAATAGGTTGACTTAAGTAGTTTACACATTTATTTTCCTTCTAAATGTAACACAAAACAAACATTTACAACTGTTTAAATTCATTTTCTCTATACTGACTTAATAGATTTCTAATTCTATACAAATTGGAAAAAATAACAGGTTTTTGCATCGATCTACGTATTGTATCCTGGTTTGTTTGTGACTGTGATTCCTAGAAATGTAATATAAAATGGTACAGGGTGGAAAATGACAAATTTTTGTGTTCTATATTATGTGCCTGATCTTTAAATACTGAGTCAACTTCACCCAACATTCACTACTTGCTTTAACCCTTAACCTTAACTGTTCAGGGCATCAAAACTATATTACTTCCCCTTATGGCCATGCAAATAAAGCCGCATTTTGTAACCAAAGCACTTGAAAATAAAATCTATTTAAAAATAACCACTTGTGTTAAGAAAATAAAAAGCATTATACTATTATACTATTTATACGAAAAATTGGTCTGAGTTTTCTATGTATAAAGTAAAATAGCCTAACAGTTTACTAATAGTAAATAAAAAAATACATTAATCCCAGAAAATAAAACTTAAACAAAATGCTACTCCCTAAAATTATTTCTATAAAATTTTATTTAAATGCTAAAAAATTCAACATAGTCACAGGCGCTACTTTTTTCTCAATATCACTCTATAGGATACATTAAAGCCAGATTCAATGGCAAAGGCATTTTTAATTTGATTTAATTTTACTAATTATATTGCCCATAATTTTTAAAGAAAAATCTTAACTTAAGAAAAATCAAAGAAAATGAACCACTAGTGATAGGACAACAAGAAAACAACCTTAAAAAAACTTATTTTCTCCTTCAGCTGGTATCTTCACAAAATCTCGTTACCAAATTAATCTTCCAATAATATGTGTAAATAAATGCAGGTGCACCAGACTACTACAAACAAAAATTCTCTGGTGGGTGCATTGGACTGTAAGGGTTGAACTAATGCTCTCCATTCAAAATGAGCGTGTTATCTTTAAAACAAAGTGTTGAAAAATGCATTATACTTAATTAACCAATCATTCAATTAAGTGCAAAAAAATATTTGATTTAAAACATTGTTGTGACTAAATTGATTGAAATACTGGTTTGACATTCAATGACTGATTGAAACCCTGGTGTGACTTTCAATGACTGATTGAAACCCTGGTGTGCTTTCAATGACTGATTGAAACTCTGGTGTGACTTTCAATGACTGATTGAAACTCTGGTGTGACTTTCAATGACTGATAGAGGCTATTTGATCTTGCACCTCATCCAGATGACTTAGGCTGTTAAAAGAATAATAATTAAGTTTATCACACTGTCAATGCTTTCTCCAGTCAAGATTATTAAATAATGATGACAGCTATTTTAAAATCAGTAAATTAGAGGTGACTTACCTTCTAGCTATTGCAGAATGTCTGAAATAAAGTTAAGCTATTGTATCTAATGCACAAGAATTTCGATAATATAAAATTTCTGAGTTTCAAACTTACACAATTAAGCTGCTAACTAATAACATGAAAAGCTCAAATTAAAAATAATGTAAATCAGAAAACTGTTAGAATGTTGCTTTTGACTGCACTTCATAACTTACTGAAATTCAAGTTGGGAGCGTATCATGTCCATTTTCCTCATTGTCTGTTGAAATTAAAAGCATCTGGTTAAGTTATGATGACTAGTTTGGGGAAATGTTTCAAAACTAAGTGAATAAGTTAAGGCCCTTACTTCATGTGAATTTTGAATGCAGCTTTCTTGAGAAGCAAAGTTTTTGGCCGCCTGTGCAAGAAACTGAAAAATAGTTTAGAACAGAAATTTTAAACTTTAAACTAATAAGAAAATAAGCATATATTTACTGAGCAAACCTCTGAATATCAAGTGGGTTATACATTAATGATGTCTACAAACAACATATATAACGCTTCATCCACCACTTCTTCCAATGAAGTGGACATCTAGACTAAATAAAACTTACTTCATATCTATTTGACTTAGCTTGACTGCACTTTATTTCATTTGGGAGGATGAATTAAAATATTGTCTGCAGTCATTTGCCCAATCTGTTATTAAAGTTAAGTTTTATCTGTCATAACAACCTAATTATAGTATAAGCATAGTTTATTATTATTAATATTATCCAGTACCCATGGCAGCTAGTTAAATATGTTGATCCGTAGCTAGTCAACAAACACCATCAATTAATTATTCTAAATAAATTAATGAAAATTTAAACTATTAAGTTTTTGAACTTGGAATTCACAATTACATTATTAATGATAAGAGTACTAAAATGCTTCTTTACCAATGTAGAAGTATTCTAGCTTGGATTTTGGTTTTTTAAAAGTCTCAAAAAATATAATTTCAATTTTGATTTTTTAAATAGTTTTTTGTTAAAAATAGAGTGGGAGTGATCTCCCATTAAAATTTCTCAAATCTATATATCGTCCCCCCAGTATTATCTTGTTCTATCTCTCAAAATGTAGTTTTGAGAAAAACGCATCTGAAGTTTCATGTGGTCTGATTCTTATATTTAAACTGTTCCAATTCATTTTTATTTAGATAAAATGTTAAAGGGCATTAAGCAATGAGCATCCAAGTTATTTTTATTACTTTATGTACCATTAGAAGACCATAACAATTATTTTTCACTTTTGAGATAGAACAAAATACGATGAAAGTGATCAGGTTTCAAAAATTTTATAATGTTCTAAGTCAAATTTTGTGTTTTTTAGGCAGTTATAATAGCTTTTCTAGAAGTATTATCTACTTTTTGTATGAGCAATGTCTTCTGGTTTTCTATCCTATTGTTCCCGGTCTTTACTTTCATATTTTTGATTACCGCAATGTGCAAAAAATGTTTTTTGCACTACATTACAGAACAAGTAATATTTTAAGTTGTAAGTATGCTTTTGCATACAGAATTTTGATTTAATGTATTAATAAAATGAATTCACAAATCAATAGATAGGTTCAATAGATTTTAATGTTTTAATTCTACACCATGAGCCGTTTAAAAAAAAAAAAAAAAAAAAAAAAAAAAAATAACAAAAATAACAAAAACTTGTAATAATGAATATTGAGAAAATACATAAACTTTGTTTTTATAATCAAAACAGTTTTAGAAAAAATAACACTCGCCGACAGTGCTTTAAAAACGTACTGTTAAAGGCTTTGTAATTTAGAAATAGATGATAACTAGCCACAAAGAGTAGCCATACATTTTCTGTCAATCTCTGGCATGTAGGGCATCATTTTTTCAAATCTTTCTTCTTTTCTGCTGAAATTAGGGAGCCCACTTTATTCGACTGAATTGAAAACTCCGGTATACTGGGAGATGTTTCAGGCTTTCCTTTTCTAAGTGTTCTTTATAAGTGGGTGTGTGCATTAAAATGTAAAGTTTATTCTGTAACTTTGGGTTATCTGCATACATTAACATAATTTGATTTAGTCAGCGGCGAGTCTAGTTAGGTTGACACTCGGTGTGGTAACTGAGGGTGTCAACCCTCCACCCTCTTACAATTTTACATTTTTGGTTTTGTGTCACCCCTCTACCCTATAATTTTATTTTAAGATTAACTAGATAAAGAATTATATTGGCTGTAAATTTTAGTGTTTTTCACATTGGTGTCGCCCTCTAAATGGCGTCACGTGCGGATCAAACCACGCCCCCAGCCTTGTGATACAACTGGAATTAAAGTATTAATACAATAAATGCAAATCTCGAGAATTAGCTTAAAAAAATAATGTATTAATTTTACACAATATGCACAGTTCCCTAATTCAAAAACAACCAATCTTGTAATTGAATATTGAGAATATACATAAACACTGTTTCTTTTCTCACTACAGGCAGCGCCAATACCCATATCATTGACACTGCATTAACAGGTCTCTGTTGTTTTTATTGTTCTCTTTCGCACTTCTCTATGGATAGAAATAAAGATAGACTACATCAGTACAAAGTGCAAAAACAGAAGGACTTATTTCCCCCACCCCCCTCTGCTACACTAATAATAAACTGAAAACCAGGAATAAACTTATATTCGTGGTTTTAAGACTAATAAGTTACTCACAATGAATTACTTTACATTTTGATCTATAACAAAGACATTGTTTTCATCATTCATATATTGGAACACCTCCTCATTATGATTTTGATAATATAAATAGTAATAAATACAAAGTAAACCCTACAGATACTATACTACTATACTACTAAACAATACAATTAGTATAGGCGTATACTACAGTATACATTAACAATATTAGGCCTATTAATAATTAAGATATTTTAATAAACTTTGAACTAAATATGTGTAAAATAACACAGTTAAGACAACATATAAAAGATAAATATACTTACGATTCAGGATCTGGTAATTCAGTCAGTTTATTTGCATGACAACCAACATCGACTAAAAGGTGTTCACACGCCGCCATTTTGATCAACGACGCACAAGTCACATGACTTAAACAGCTGATTTCATTGGCATAATCGGACATAGAACATTATAATTCTAGCGTATCCAAGGAAAATTTATGCGTTAATTTTATATAGATTATATACTGTTAGAACAGAATCATATTATAAAACTGACATAGAACAAGATTATACTGGCCAAATGCATCAACTTGTAGTTAGTGTAATTTGTATTTTTTTTTTTAATTTAAAGAAGTTGCAAAATAGCTGCACAAGGCCAGGCTGTTGCTGAACTCTAGCAGGTCTTACAAATGTGGGTGAGTTGCATATCTTCTAACTTATAGTTTGTTTGTTAAGCCTAAGCCGCTAAGCCCTTACCTTAGCTTAACTCGCCAGTAACTGTGAGTAATACCGTAGTAATAGTACGCAATAGACACGACTTACACAGGGACAACAGTACTTTAAAAAATAAATAAAAACTTCAGTCACTAGTCTACCTCATTTGATTTTGATCCTCGTATAACCTGTCGTGTTAGTGAACCTATGTCATTTATGTTAGATGTTATTTTTTCATTTAATCTTATCTTCGTCTCTTGATTCCAATTGTTTGACGAACGATTCGACGCCATCTTGTAAACAATTGGCTAGTATCTACTTCCGGCTAGAAATATTTATATTTTCTTCTTCGTGAGAGCTAGTCTGTGGAGTGCGATTAATCTCTTTGCTACTAACTTACAGTCTGACATGCTTTTGCTATAGATCTAGAGTCTATTAGAAAGAGGTTGAACAAGAGTTGTAAAAAAATAAACGAAGAAAATGAAAATGAATAATATCTAATAAAATAAATTATAACGCCTCGTAGATGCTGAACGTTTTTCACCGAATAACGGCGTAATTGCCGTAGACTTTTTAAGCATTTAAATTAATACATTCAATCATTCGGTTTCCTTCGTGCTAGCTAAGAAAGAGGACGAGTTCAGAGTTACTTCCACTTCCAGGCATCTCTTCGGGGGAGGGGGGGGGGGGGTGAGACACCTGAAGGAAGTCTACCGTGAGTACCGTCCCCCCCCCTCCCCCACACACAAGGAAACGGAATTTATATAAAACATACTTTTACCAGTGTCCTTCCCCCGGATAACGAATTTGAAATTGCCATGTTATGTAGCTTTAATTTTAAAAAAATGTAATGACTCGTCACAAATATACGTCTTGGCATATTTCTGGGTGCCTAGCTCAGCGCCATGTAAGAGCGAGGCGCTTTTTTTGTCACAATGTCAACCCACTTTAGTACCTGTACATCTGCTGTTTGTGTTATTCCTACAGGATATGGACCGTCAACCACTCACGCTTTGATCATAATTTCAGTAGCGTAGCGAGGGGGGGGGGGTGGCGGGGGCGGGGGGGGGACATATGTCCCCGGGCGCCGACCTTAAGGGGCGCCAAAATGGGTTGGAAAAATAAATTGAAAGGTTGAGGGGGGTGCAAATTGAAAGATTGAGGGGGGGGGGGGGCAAATCGAAATCTTGAGGGAGGGGGGTGCAAATCGAAAAATTTGTCCCCGGGTGCCGGGAAGGGTCGCTACGCCTCTGCATAATTTACAAGTATTTATCACAATATACATCTTTTATATGGTATTTCGTCTTTAAGAAGAATAACATTCTTCTTATCAACAAAACACGTGGTCAAATAAAACAAATTAAAAAAAAACCTTTATAATAATAAACTTATAAGTGCACTGAAGCGAAGAAAATAAAACTATTTTGTTTTCTTTATTAACAGCTTTGGTCGTCAAAATATGCAGGAGATTTCATGAACAAAATCGCTGCCACAAATCCACAAACATACTTTGTGAACTAAATATAAGCTTATCTAAAAAAAAATTCAAGTACTTGTTGTTAAATATGTATGACCTTCTCCCTGCCCCCCCCCCCCCCATTAGGTTGTGTATGGGAGCATCGTAGAGTAGTAGCCAGTGTAATTAATCTGCTTGTCAGGAGATTGGGGGGGGGGGGGGGAAGGATAGTGTAGATAGCCTAGCACTCATTCAACGCAGAACATAATTTAAACAAAGTGAAGTTAGGCAATGGGCAGCCTATGGCTAGTCACCGACCGTTTATGGGTTCCTTTCAGACATTTTCTCTCCCGAGGGGGGGGGGGGGGGGGAGGGCTCTGAAAACTTCAGGGTGAGAGGGCGTGACAATGTTTAAAGTATATATCTTCCGTATTAATTATAATATAAATTATAATATATAGTTTATCTATTTCTCCGATGAGGGGAGGAGAGGGGGGGGGGGGGACAGGTGGGACAGTGTGAAAATCAATTCTTTATCGTGTGGTGCTGCAAAACGCAGAAACAAAGTGCACATTTTCATTTAATTAGTGGTGCTTTTGTCCACATCTCACCTTAATTATATGCACATAAATCCGGTATTAATAGTTGTAAATGAGCTAGAAGTTGATATGCTACTTCCAGCTATGGCAGAAATTATCAGGTACACAATAAAACATACAGATTTTAATATCAGGTATATGGTAAAACATATAGTAATTAAAATCAGGTACATAACTAAACATGCATATTCCCAATCCCTGTCTTCAACCTTACCGTGGTAATTAAAAAATACACGGGGCATTCAATGATTTGATTGTGTGGTGTAATTAAATCTAAAACAGGAATATTCTTCCGCAAACTACCTCGTGTATTCTTGTAGAATAGTGGGGGGGGGGGGGGGCACTTCCAGTACAATGGAGTTATAGAATAGATAGTATAGAAAGATAGAACTTTGTGACTTTTGTTGATGAGAAAACACATTGAAGTAAACATGCTCACCGTTAGTGAGTTATCCCCCACATGAAGTGGACAGGCTGTAATTTGATAGGAATGCGTTACCTGGGTGTTATATTTAGGGAAACACGTCCTTAGTTGTAGTGAGGGTCTGACAAAGCACAGTGGATGGTTAGACACCGACCAATGTAAAGGTGTTTTTTCTTAAAGTTGTAAGGTGTGGTAGGGCTTTAGCCAACCAAGATTCACTTCTGTTATATTAGATGTTCAAACAGATTGAGAGTATTCAGCATCACATCTCCTTAAAAGCATTGACCTTTTGACCGAGTGGTTTAGAGATACAAATGTAAAACATCTCTAGTTCAATACACGCTCTCACTTGTATTAATTGCCCTGTTGAAATTCCCAGACAGGCCAAGAGTGAAGCAGCCCATAAATAAAGGCGTGTCGGATGCCCTAATTGTAGGCACGGACAGTTTTTGTGTGGCTGAGGTCCAGTACGGTAATATAAAACCGGATGAGACTCTGATACACCCCTCCCCCCCACGCCCACGACATGTCCCCAACTGTTTCACTCCTTGGGATTTAGCCGTAATCAAATGCTTTACTATTAGTATTTTTAATTAAGACACACACACACACACACACACACACACACACACACACACACACACACACACACACACACACATATATATATATATATATATATATATATATATATATATATATATATATATATATATAATGGGGGCATCTTCCTCTTGAGTAGGCCCCGGGCATCTACATAGGTCTGTACGCCACTGAAAGTAGGCTTACCACTTCCCTTTATAAGAGGTAAATTAAAAATTTATTTATATTATTTATTTATGCAGTAATTTCGTCTACATAATAGGCTTGAAAAGCTGGTTCCAAATGGTTCCAAATTTTTGTTGCCAGAAAGCACATGTTTCAACCAAACTTAAATAATTTATAATATTTGTGTAACTAACTTTAACTAAGTACAAAATTAGTGTCGTTTTCATTAAGGCTAGAAATAGCCAAATAAATAATTATTATAATATAATTATAATTTAGCAAACACTTTTATTTTTAATTCGGATTAGCAGAGTCTGGGTGTTTTATTTTTAAAAATATTTCCCCTTACCCAATTAAAATAAAATAACAGTCCTCTAACAAACGAAGTGCTTGGTAAAAAGAAATTCCTGTACTTGACGTGAATTATGTATGACCCCCCCCCCCCCCCCCCCACACACACACACTCCCTCCAAATTTAGGCTGTGTATGTGAACATGGTATTCTAGTAGCCAGTCTGATGAATCGAGTTGTCAGTAGCTGGAGCAGTGGCCTCCTAGCACACATGAAGTATGAAGAGTTTGGGGGGGGGGGTGTATTTCCTTTGCCCACGTAGTTGTGGACTTTAGCTGGTCTCCAACCGTTTCTGATGAGTGGGTGGTGGGCGGTGGTGGGCGGTGGTGTGCGGTGGTGTGCGGTGGTGGGCGGTGGTCACTTTAAGCTCGACCTTAACATGAGACGCAGACTCTGTTGATGAGTTGCTGGACTGTGTTTGTACCTGGCCGGTGTCTCAGGTAGCTACAACCTAATTGTGATGTTCCTGACCTAGGTAGACACTCCATCTCAGACAGTGGCGTAACAACCATGTAACCAAGGTGGCCCAAACACGGGGCCCCTATGTGCTGGGGCTCCCTATGTACTGGGCTCCCTATGTACTGGGCTCCCTATGTGCTGGGCTCCCTATGTGCTGGGGCTCCCTATGTGCTGGGGCTCCCAAGCATTTTAAGTTAAAAATCTAGAGACTCGATTTTTAAAAAAAATTGATTTTCTTTATTCGTTTTAAGTAGAAAAAAGTGCTTGCTCCCAAATCGGGGATCATTATATTGCAGAAAAAGAACAACTTTTTTTGCAATCAGAAACCGTAGCATACAGTACAGAGATGTGGTCCATATGTTGTAAAACAAAAATGATTAGGAACGTAAAAAGCGGCTGTCAGTGCGAACAAGGCAATAGTTTGAATTGCTAAAACAGGTTAAAAAATGACTACTTTTATATCACGTGAATCTCACTGGTGTGTTAAATCTAATTAATGTTGTGAAATATTCATGGATTCACTTTTCCACAACTCTATGCATAGCGCGTTTATGTATAAACTAGCTGCATAACCGTGCTCCGCCACGGTAAATCTTTTTTAAATGTACCAACTTGAGAACAGAACAAAACTTAACACAACACAAACACAACTCAAACACAACACAAACACAACACAAACACAACACAACACAAACACAAAAACAACACAAACACAACACAACACAACACAAACACAACACAAACACAAACACAACACAAACACAACACAAACACAACTCAAACACAACACAAACACAACACAAACACAACACAAACACAACACAAACACAACACAAACACAACACAAACACAACACAAACACAAAACAAACACAACACAAACACAAACACAAACATCAACACAACACAAACACAACACAAACACAAACACAAACACAAACACAAACACAAAACAAACACAAAACAAACACAACACAAAAACAAACAAACACACACAAACACAACACAAACACAACACAAACACAACACAAAAGAAAACATACCGCCGGCGGACGCGCCTGATTCAGTGAATGACTATAAAACCCCCAGCTTGTCCGCAAACCGAAAGATTTGACATTGATCCGTTTAATATGTTTTAGTAATTTGCGTGTATTTAATTTTTTCTTTACGTTATGCGAAAGAGTTTAACGAGTGGCAACTATAAAATTAATTTAACTCGTTATACAAACAAACCCTACTCATTACTTATATTGCG